AAGGGGGGGGTGTTAAAAATAGGTAAAAGGTTTTAAATACTAGTCACATGTTGTTTTGGCAAATAGAAATATTACAAACTAAATTCATGAAAACTGAAAAGAAGTCAAATAAATCATTCTGAATTAACTTAGTACTTACCTTTTAAGAAAAAATTAAATTAGGCTACATGCAGTGCTTAGGATCCGGATCCATCAAATCCGTAACCTTTTGGCTTAAAGGGTCAAAATATCAACAACAACAAAATTCTTGCCCTTGATAAAAGAGAGATTATCACAAAGTCCTTATCTCTTAAAGGTTCATCAAGTTTCAGCATAAAAATAAGCGAAAAAAAGAGGAAAATGATTTTATAATTCTTCTTCTGTTAAAAAAAATCAGTAAATCTTAAAGAAATGTGCATGACCTGGATCCGGATCCGCATCAAAATCAAATGGATCCTAAGCACTCAATTGTTGACTGATGATTTTAGGGATTAAGCATTATTAAGTTATTAAGTGGATATCAAGGTTAAGTATTTCGTTATTTCAATTTAAAGATTTTATCTCTGATAAACGACTCAACTCACAGCTATGTAGTATGTTGTTTTATTGCACAATAGTGACGTACTGTTTTATTGCACAATAGTGACGTACTGTTTTATTGTTCAATAGTGATGTACTGTTTTGTTACACAATAGTGACGTACTGTTTTATTGCACAATAGTGATGTACTGTTTATTGCACAATAGTGATGTACTGTTTTGTTACACAATAGTGACGTACTGTTTTATTGCACAATAGTGATGTACTGTTTATTGCACAATAGTGATGCACTGATTTATTGCACAATAGTGATGTACTGTTTTATGCACAATAGTGGTATACTGTTTTATTCAACAATAGTAATGTACTGTTTATTTTACAATAGTGATGTGCTGTTTTATTGCACAATAGTGACGTACTGCTTTATTGCACAATAGTGATGTACTTTTTTATTGCACAATAGTGATATACTGTTTTATTGCACAATAGTGATGTACTGTTTTATTGAACAATAGTGACGTACTGTTTTATTGCACACTAGTGACGTACTGTTTTTATTGTACTTTTAATTTTAGGATTTGAACGACCCAACAATCTGTAGTCTTCACCAGATCCCATTTCCAGGACAAAGTTCTAGAGGAGGAAACCGTCCCTTCATATTTGAAAGGTAGCTGAGAACTGTCCCTTGATATTTCAGTTGTGACTTGTAACTGGAACCGTTCCTTTACATTTCAAAGGAAACAGGGAACTGTCCCTTGATATTTCAGTTGTAAATGGGTATTTTTCTTTACACTTCAAAGGTAACTGGGAACTGTCCCTTGATATTTCAGGTGTAACTTGTAACTGGGAACCGTCCCTTTATATTTCAAAGGTAACTGGGAACTGTCCCTTGATATTTCAGTTGTAACTAGGTATTGTTCCTTTATATTTCAAAGGTAACTGGCACTTCACATATTAACTAGGCTTTCAGGGAGGTCCACATTGGGGTTTCTTACAGATTCCTTTTTCTTATGTTCCTTATTTCAACTTTTAATTGTTGCTCTATCTGTTAGCATTTTCTCTTCGAATGTTCGATGTGCATTAAAAAACAATAACAAACCAAAATTTTGTGGATTTACAACATTTTATGAAAATCTAAAAATTTCGCGGCCAATATTTTAAAATTTTGTTAATCTTTTGTTAATCCCAAGGATATGAGATACCACACAAAATTGCTAAGTTTATTTAAAAATAAAAACTTTCTCTTTATTATTCATCGTTTATTATTGACCTTAATTTTCAAATGAGGCTGCAAAAGACGACATTTTAGCAATTCTCTATACATCACTTTGATCAAAATGTTAACTTAAAGAGCCAAGATTTCCTATTATTTAAAAAAAATACGTATACAGCTTTAGTCTGAAAAAACTGGAATAGGAAGACGACAATAAAAGCAAATAATTAATTTTGGTGGTTAAGATTTCATTGTTTGGATGAGCAAATAATTAATTTTTGTTTAATATTTAATTGCTTGGCCGGATGAAAAACCAACCAGAATCTATAAATGTATTAGTATACGATTATACAATATCAATTAGGTTCAAATTGTTGGAGAATACAATTTTTTTTAAATCTTTTATTTTCCCATAAATTGTAGGAAAGGGGTGTTAAAGGGACTGTAAGTGTAATTTCAAGTGACCCTCCATATATATGATGGCAATGTTCGATTAACAACGGTACTCTTGACACCTTTATCTGATTAATAATGTGGAAGATATTGTTGTTTTTCTAGGTTTAAGCGTTTTTAATTCTGATATTTCCTGTATGTTTTTCTGCAGTAGAAATGCGATAATAACTTTTGTAGAGAAATCACCTTTGAAAATAATCAGTTTTCGAAATTATAAACATTGATATCTAATATATACTTGATCAGCCAAAGCTTTGAAGGGTACCCTTGTGAATCGGATATTCCCATCTTTACATGGAGGGTCACTTGAAATTACGCTTATAGTCCCAATCATTGATTTTCAGGATTGAAATTCTTAGCTTAAACGATTATTTGTGGAAAATATTATTTATTGTGCTCTTGTACAGGAGCCCGTTGAAGATTGTACGTGGCATGAAACAGTATTTGTACGATGATAATAATATTGAGTTCTTGGACTGCGTGAACAGCACTGCACATGTGGGACATTGCCATCCACAGGTAGAATCAAGAACAGGAAGTAGAAACAGGAACAGGAAGTAAAAACAGCTAACAGGAGGTAGAAACATATACAGGAGTTAAACAGATACCTGAGAATACAGATAGAGTTGTATCCTGATTGAAACTGACCAAGGTATTATTGGAGAACCTAGGAGTTCAAAATTGAGTTGTACCTAGATTGGCAGTGACCTAGAAGGAGTAGGGCATTTACTACAAAGGTAGACACAGAAACAGGAGGTAGAGGCAGAAACAGGAACAGGAAATATAAACGGTTAACAGGAAGTAGAAACTAAAATAGAAGGTAGAGGCAGAAACAGGATGATAAAACAGGAACAGGAGGTAATAAAGGTTAAACAGAAGGTAAAAAACAGAAGTAAGAACCAGAATCAGTAGGAAGAAACAGAAAAGAAGATAGTTACGGGAATTGGAGGTAAAAACAAAAACAGAACACAGAAACAGAAACAGGAGGATGAAGTAGGAACAGGAGGTAGAAACAGAAACAGAAGGTAGTACCAGAATCAGGAGGAAAAAAACAGAATCAGTAGGTAGAAACAGAAAAAGGAAAATGGCAAAGAAAGTTTGAACTACCATGCTAGACTAATCTTACATGAATAAATATTTTTTAAGTTTAAAAATAATGCTAATGATTCTTAGGTTATCAGCTCGGGGCATGACCAGATGACTAAGCTTAGCACCGCTCAGGGATTTATGTCCGACAGTCTTTACAAATACCGGAAGGAATTAAGTGAGTACTTATTTTTTGACTTTTCTGTCAATAACTTGATGGTATAAAAATTTGAAGCTAAATCATATAACATGCAAATTCAAGCCGGGTAGGACAATATGAAGCATTTGGAAACATACTATAATAACAGATAAACATCATGTTATTTTCTATTCTCGTGGTCGGTTTAGATTGCACTTCCAAGAAAATTTTTTGTTTGAGCATACTCGACTAATTGTTAACAACACATCTGTATTTTAGTTTCATCTTTCCCTGAATCCTTGGATGTTTGCTACATGTGTAACTCAGGCAGTGAGGCCAATGATTTGGCAATAAGGTAGGAGACGACGCCATTTTAATTTTACTACTATTAGGCAACAACTTTTGACTTGAAACATGGGGATCATTTAATCATTTATTTTTACCAATTCCAGAAATAAAGTTCCCTAACATAAAAATTTCCCTCCATGTAAATAAATCTAAATTCTGGGCGAAAATAATATTTCGAATGGGGGCGGCTGAGGGGAAATGATTTTTTAAGAAGAAAACACCCCTGATGGTATGTTTTTACTCCTTGACAATGTTTTGTGTTAATCTACGGGAAAATAGATTTGATTTACCTGAAGGGTGGGTGTGTATTTATTTTTTATGTCTATTTTGAAGCAAACATAAAAAGACATATTCCCCATAAATGAATTTTCTACAGAAATCTGCATCAACAAAACTATTGATATTTTTTGTTTTTATTGTTCTAATAACTTCTAACAGATTTGTTTTCACATTTTTTTTTCATTAGATAAAATTTTTTTTTCTTAAATCAGGTTGTTTAATGAATACAATTTAGATGCTAATCTAATAGACTTCTTTTTCAATTATAATACAAAAAAACAAATTTAATGATCTTCTTCTGAATTTCCCAATGTTATGTTGTTATCTGATTCACAAAGCTTGCTGACTGATTTATCATATTTAATTGTTGCTTCATGATCTTTGCTCTCTGTATCCCTGTTGGAAATTTCCAAACTTTCCTCTGTGCTCCCTAATATTTGCTCAAATGGAAATTTTTCCAATTCCAAGGAAGGACTTCTTGATTGTATGTCTTCAATGTCCTGCTTATCTTTATTGATATTTTCCTCTGATGGTTTGGGAACTGGTGTGCCTTCCGCATCATCTTTTATAGGTACTAGAGAAGTTTTTTCTCTATGATCTTCCAGATTTTCTGAGATTGCTGAAATTTCTACATTCATTAATTTTTCCTCAAAATTAGATATTAGAATACTTTTTTCGTTGGCCTTATTTTCCTTGGTCTTTTTTTTCAATAATTTTGTGTCTTTGGTTTGATTCTGATTTGGGTTTACTCCTCCTTTCTCCTCTTCTATGGGTGCTACTGCAACATGCCCCCACTTAAATGTTTTTGGGTCTTGCCCTGACTTGAAGAGGGCTCGAATTTCAGCCATTGATCTAAAATGACAAAGTAAAATAAGGGTTTAGAGAGATAAACTTGTTCATTTACCTGAGAAGAAATATTGGAGTTTCATTATTCTGGCCCTAACAATCAACAATTATTATCAAATAATTGATGGTGTTCTTTTATCTCAAAGATTTTAGATTTTACTTTATGATTTAAGCTAAAAAATACTGTTAATAATCATTTCCTGGAAAAGAGTCTCCCCTTCAAAGTAGACAAGGTTGTATTTCCTAGCCCTGAGAAGAAGCCCAACAACCTATGAAATAAATTCATTTTACATATCTTATTATTATTCATCTATTTGAAAATATCCATAAAAACCTCTTGTTTTTTGAAGGTTTTTTAAATATTTTTAAACATTTTCCAAAATTTTGACAAAAACATAATTTAACTAAGTAAAAATAAGTGATAAGTACTTAGGGTGAAAACTCTAATAGCTTGTTAACTTACCAACAATTTAATACTTCTTGTTATTTTTTAATGAAAATGGTAGATATTCGAAATTGGTTATTGTGAAAGACCCTTTTTAGATGTCCTATTGTATACCTTCTGATTAGGTTCAAATTATATCTTTTTCAGAAATTAACTTTGGATAATAAATCTGCTAGATTTTTGTGTAAAAGTTTGTGAATCATTATGAGAAGTGTTCATGGAACTTGTTAATATTAGTGTGTGCAATTTTTCACAATTTACAGACATTTAGCAAAATTGAAATTGTATAATAATTCAAAGATTTGAGTTGTCTAATTTATTTGGGCATAGATTTTATTCAAAAATTAGCCAATTCCCCCTTTTTTAAATAATTTATTCCTGGAATTGACACGTAAGAAACACATTAATTTCAGGGAAAATAGCATAATTTTGTTGGTAATAAGTTTTTTGAAATGGGGTGATTAATCCAAAAATTATATAACCCTCATTGCCCTCAATGGAGTTTAGATTTTAGCCGGGGTACCTTGCTTGATATTCTATTGTATAGGCTAAACAGCTCTCCAAACAGTATTACAGTTGTGTCCTCATCATAGCGTCCTAATAGTAGCTTGTTTTAAGCAAAGACTTATTTATTTTTTACTAGATAAAAACTAAAATGCCTTTACACTTAGCAGATTTTTAAGTCGTCTGAAAACAAAAAACTCTTGAATATTTTTGAGAAAGCTGATCACATTGTTAAAATATTTAACACATTTTGGGCTTTATTTTCATGCACTGCAAATTGAGATTTAAGTAAAAAAGTAGCCACTGTTGGGTCAAACTTTTAACACAGTTTAAGTTTTGAATGGCATGTTTGGCCACTTGCACATTTTGGACCTGTTTGTTGTCCATGCATCCAGATAACTTCACACAGTTCAATGATTTCCTTGGAGATATCATCATGTGCCTTTCTCCCCCGGGCCTCAGTCTTTGTTCCTAAGGTGCAAATTTTTATAAACCCATCACACCGAAGCTGTTTTTTTTAGTATAAAATCACCTCATACAATTTTGAGTTTTGACAGTTTTGCAAGCAAAAAATATCCTGTTTTCTATTATTGAAACTATTATTGAAATGTCCTGTTTTCTATTATTAGAGTCCAATCTTTTTTTGATTACATGTACACAGTCACAAAAATTGTTTTAATTCAATGATTTATAATATTTTTTAACCAAACTTGGTTAACTTGTTTTAAGTTTTGATTTGGCTTGATGTATGATGTGAAATGTTTGCAGAAAAGTCAAAAGGCTTTTCTATCATATTATAGATTTATCATTATTATTTTTAAAAATATTTTCAACACCTTTTAAAGGTTCACCATAACCAGGATCCGTTTTAGATAATCTCACTTCTTCTGTGAATACCTTAGAAAAGAGTATTCACAACAGTACCCTTAAATCTGATCAAAAGTGCATAAGATATGAATCATCTTATGAAAAGTGATATTTATAGTTTCAACTGTAGGTTACATTTAAAGTTACTTGTGCAATGTGTATTTCTGGTTCAGAAGTAATAGAGGAAATTTATTTTCCACATTATTGATCAGTTAAAGGTTTAAATGGTATTGTTGTGAATAGGACATGAATTACATTGCATGAGTCTTCTATGTAAGTTCCTTTAAATATGTTTTTTTATTTCATTAATTCTTAATTGTCATAAAGGATAAAAATCAATTTACTACCTTTTTATTTTCCATGAGTTGAGACATCAAGTTGCTGGAATTAAAAAAAAAAGAAAAGTTAGCCACGAAAAATATTCAAATATCAAGTTTTTCATTTTCATTTATCTAACCAAAAAATTAGTTATTGGTTTATTTTGAAGCTAAGATTTAAGGCTTTTGAGGCTAAACATGTCTTATAAAAAAAATCACAAATGTTAATGAAATCCTTTAAAAAGTTGTATCTTAAAAGTTCTCAGAAAACACCTATCTTACCTTATTTCAGCAGATTGTCTCTTTTTAGGCTTATCTTTAGACATCTCTGCGTTAGTATTATTAGAATCCTAAAACAAATTAATGTTCAACCATATTTCTAAAATTTAAAAATGTAAATAAATACATAAATTACTAGTCGCGTAGTCTGTAATTTTGAAGAAAATTATTTATCTTGAATTTAGGGTTTTGGGCCATCAGGGCCAATCTTCTATTTGAACTTTTAATTGTTGCTTAATCTTTCACCATGTTCTCGTTTATAAAACAATAATACAAATATTTGCTGATAAAAAATTGTTTTCATGGATTTTCAAAATTTTACAAAATCTAAAGTTTTTAGAGACAACTATTTGTAATTCTTAGTACCCATAAACCTTCCTTGGGTCATATAAATACATTTTTCTTTCCATTGGCCATTTTGACTTAAGTAAGTAAATTCTTTTTTATTTTTATTTTTCAGCTTTATAGAATCCTTGTTTTTTGTAATTAATGATAAAGAAACGTTCAGAATTTTTTTTTTAAATACCTTTTTCCTGAGAAGTTTGGCTGTCTTATCTGCTACTCCCTGCAACAAAAACATGGTTTATAGTAACAAATACTGCATATTGGGAATAATGTCGATTAAATATTTTGTTGGAACATTTTTTTAAATTATATTTATATTTTTGAGTATCAAAATCATAACTATATTGATAAAAAAGGAAATGTTTCATTAAAAATTAAGAAACGATGTAAGTATGGGGGTGTACAAGGGGTTAGTGCCCCCTCAACATACTTAATGCGGGGCTCCTTTAGAAATCACATTGTTCCATGGAAAAACTGAAACTCAACAAATGCAGTGTTCAATAGTTCCCAAGGAATTAGATATATTTAACCTCCCCCCCTCCCCTCCCTCTTCTTTTTATATGGCATCTTTCTTGTTCTAATGTTTGTTTCCTCTGTATGTTCTTGCATTGCTTCTAAAATGAGATATATGTTTAAAGGGTTTACCACGGAATCCTTTATGGAACCTTTAGTTGCTATCTTTGCTAAATTTTGCAACATATGTCAGACTAAAATGTTATAAAACGTCGACTATTTGCGTGTACTCTTCAACTTGCAATGAGTTTCGGTCAAATCAACATTTTCTTTGTTTCAAGGGATTGTTCATCATTTGATTTTCTAAAGGTATTTTTATCCGTCAATAGGATTTATTTTTTCTGGAAGTTAAGTCACTTGTTTGAAAAGTAAGAGAAGTTAAGATGTGATCCATATTATAAAAAAGTTGCTTTTTTAAATTATCGAACAATTTCGCATTTGCAAAAAGGTAAAAAAGGACCGTAAACGTAATTTTAAGTGAACCTCCTTTTTAACTAGAGAGGACAGTCCGATTTACAATCATATCCTTTGAACATAAATCCTTGTCTGTTGATGTATGAACAATTTAGCCTTTTTTTGTTCTTTGTTTTGTTTTTGAAAGGTGTGGATTCACTGCAAAAAAAAGAGTTGTTCATTCATTGATAAGAAACATTGGAGAAATCATCAGAATTAAAATCTTGTTAAGCTAAAAAGAAGATACCTTGCACAATATTGACCAGATTAATGTTTCAAGGATATTGCTGTGAATCAGTATTCTTCCACAGAAAACTGTCCTGTCAAATAATGGAAATTGTTCAGATAATTTTCTGTTTTAACAACAAGTTCTGTACGATATAGTTTTTTACTAAAATTATTTAAATTAAAAGACGACCGTAAAATTGTATCAAAACAAGTTTTATAAGGTTTCTCAAATTTTGTTTTTCCAAGTATGTTAAATATGAAAATATTGGATATTACGAGAAAAAATCAGAAACAATTCTGTATACACCTTAGGCAATATTGAAAGTATGAAAAAGCCAACTAAAGAGAGTAATTTAAGATTTCATGTTATGTACCTGCGGCGGAGGATTTTCCGACATTTTTTTTTCTTAACCTAGCGTATCCTAACTCCAGTTAATCCAGATATTTTTTCATAATGAAATATTTGTTTTTATTTCATGATTCTTGGCACTTGACTCTGATTTTAACTTCATTGAGTGCTGGACTGTAGGGACTAAACTAACTGAGAAAGTTTATAAGTAGTTAGTTAGACAGAAAGTTAGAAGAATAACAATTTAAAACATGAGAAAGCTTGTAGGATAACTTCAATATATTTTAAGTATTATATATAAATCAGCAATAAAAGAATGTTCAAATAAAAATTGTTTGAAACTTTTTTGAAATATAATTTTCCCTTGTTGGCATCTTGCCAGCCTAAAGGATCCCTTTTAAGATCTAGAAATGTCAGCTTTGTTTAGGTAAACACATTCTGTAGATAACAATTTCAGGAATTTACGGAGGGAAATTTTGTAAATCCAAGATTTTTCATTTTACAAATTTTAGAATTTACTCAAATTTTGTTAGTACGCATTTTATGTTAGACCATCCCTTCTTCCACTCAAACTTGTTTATTATACTGTCGTCTGACCCCGCCCCCCCCCCTTTCCCGGCCTTGATTATACCCCCTTTATTCATAGCTTAGCCCCCCATACCCCTCCTCTTCAGTATGGTTTCCTAGTCCAGGGCTGGATATTCTATCTTCTAATTTTTTCGATCCGTTTTTATTTTGCTAATGTTTTTACTCGTCATTTGTTTTAATCTTTTATAATTTACTTGAAGATTTTTTTTTACATACAACACAATATAACCAGTAGTAACAAGATACATTCACAGTAAGTTTAGTAACCTTTGGTAACTTGGGGATACTGCGTCGATATTAGTAACAAGATACATTTACAGTAATTTTAGTAACCTTTGGTAACTTGGGGATACTGGTCGATATAAGTAACAAGATACATTTACAGTAATTTTAGTAACCTTTGGTAACTTGGGGATACTGGTCGATATAAGTAACAAGATACATTCACAGTAAGTTTAGTAACCTTTGGTAACTTGGGGATACTGGTCGATATTAGTAAAAAGATACATTCACAGTAAGTTTAGTAACCTTTGGTAACTTGCGGATACTGGTCGATATAAGTAACAAGATACATTCACAGTAAGTTTAGTAACCTTGGGATACTGGTCGATATTAGTAACAAGATACATTCACAGTAAGTTTAGTAACCTTAGGCAACTTGGTTACGTTGATAACTTAGGTTACTTTTTAATTTGATTAAGTAACTATTGTTATTTTGTTACATTGTTACAATATTGCGACAAGATCAATAATTCGACAAGATCAATATTGCGACAAGATCAATATTGCGACAAGATCAATATTGCGACAAGATCAATATTGCGACAAGATCAATAATTCGACAAGATCAATAATGCGACAAGATCAATAATGCGACAAGATCAATAATGACAAGATCAATATTGCAACAAGATCGATATTGCGACAAGATCAATATTGCGACAAGATCAATAGTGCGACAATATCAATATTTGAACTATAGTTTAGAATTGGGAATTAATGGATATCAAGAATTAGTAAAACTAAACTCTGAACTGTAGTTTAGAATTGGGAATTAATGGATATCAAAAATTAGTAAAACTAAACTTTGAACTGTAGTTAAGAATTCAAATTTAGTATTAGAATTAGTTAAACTAAACTAGGAACCATAGTGTCAAATTAAATACTTTATTATAGTGGCTGAAGTAAGTTAACTGTAGCCAGATTTTAAGTACTTTCTCAAAGGCATTTTCCCAAGTGGCAACTTCCCTAGGATATTTTCCCAAATGTGCTAATGCCCAAGTGGCAACTTCCCAAGTCTGTCCTAGCCATAGGACTCGGCCCATAGCAACGCTTAACCGCAGCGCTCGGTCCTTATTGCAGCCCGCAGCGCTGCAATAAGGGCCTAACCTAACCTTTGGGAAGTTGTCACTTGGAATTTGCACACTTGTGAAGTTGCCACTTGGGAAACCGGCCTTGCAAAATGCCCTTTTGAAAATACGACAAGCCACACATACATACATATAAATCGAATTAAAAAAGAGAGAGTGGGGAGCAACGAAATGTTTTACTCTCTGGGAAAATCAAAAAGTATATATTTTAACATATTTTAGCAAAGTTGTAAAATTCGCTGATTTCTAGCATTTAAACTCAATGTATTTTACACTTGACAACAATTATACACTTTACACTGTATTTTTTATTAAACTTTGTATTGTATGGGGGGGGGGGGGTCTAGAAGTACATAACTAGAAAAATACCAATAACAAATTTTTCAGGGAATTTGAAAAAAGTATTGACGAGCTGGAGAAGAAGGGAAGAAAACTTGCAGCGTTTATCTTGGAACCTATGTTTGTTATCCCTGGAGTACACCTTCCCCCTGCATCCTGCATACAGGCAATATTCAGGTATTATTATTGTTGTTGTAATCATTCCTAATGCCATTGTAATCGTTACATTTTTGTTTTTATCATTTATTACCATTATTATTGTTATTTTTATTTTTATTTTTATTTTATTTTTGTCTATCGGTAATGCCATTAGTTCATGTTTATTGTATTGTCTTTGTTTATGAGGTTATTATTATTTATTTTCGTTATTATTTTTGTTCTTTGGTTATTATCATCATCAGCATCATTGTTTTCATTGTTATTTTTTATTTTATTATTATAACTTGACTTTTTGACGAATGTTTAGATGTATACAGTCCAGGGGTGGACTGGTTATTGTTGACGAAGTACAGACTGGTTTGGGACGAACTGGTGATCATATGTGGGGCTTTATGCACTACGAGGTTACAACTTTCCTATTCTACAAATACGAATTAACAATGGCCGTCGCAAATGGTCTTTAATGATAACAAAAATCATATAATCACTAGTAATAAAAGAAAATGAAAAGATTGAAAATCATTGTGATATAGGTATCAACAGTACCATCTTTAAAACCCGAGCTTTTATCTGTATAGAGAATTGAAACATATTTAAAATTGATTGTAGTTAGGATGGAAAACCTTTTATTTCTTCTACAAAGTCAATACTTTACCAAAGAATTGAGTTTTTTTTTTTACCTGGAGTAGATTTTTTTTTAAATCTCATTCCGTAAATTGATTTAAAATTGGATATTCAAGCCGGTGTCAGCAAAACCCATATCAATTTGCACAACATTTTAATTATCTTTTATATCATCTTTAAACCCAATATTTTATTTTTGAATTAGGTGGGTGTGCAATTTTTTCAGCAAAATATTAACCCCTTTTAATAACTAGGTTGTCCCTGACATTGTTACTATAGGGAAGCCAATGGGTAATGGTTACCCAATGGGAGGCGTAATCTGTTCCCAAAAGCTCGCTAACTCCCTTAGAGGATACTACTCAACCTTTGGAGGAAACCCTGTATCATGCTCTATAGGTAGGCAGGGGCTTGAAGAGACTGTAAATACAATTATAGATAAAACTTCATTTAAATGAACTGTAAATACAATTATAGATAAACCTTTATTTAAAAGGACTGTCTATACAATTCTAGATAAACTTTAATTTAAATGAACTGTAAATTCAATTCTAGATAAATCTTAATTTAACAGGACTGTAAATACAATTCTAGATAAAACCTAATTTAAATGAGCTGTAAATACAATTCTAGATAAACCTTAATTTAAAGTGACTGTAAATACAGTTCTAGATAAACCTTAATTTTAATGAAATGTAAATACAATTCTTGATAAACCTTAATAAAAAATTAACTGTAAATACAATTATAGATAAGCCTTAATTTAAAAGGACTGTAAATACAATTCTAGATAAACCTTAAATTAAAAGGACTGTAAATACAATTATAGATAAACCTTAATTTAAAAGAACTATAAATACAATTCTAGATAAATCTTATTTTAAAAGAATTTTAGATAAAACTTAATTTAAAGGGACTGTAAATACAATTCTAGATAAAACTTAATTTTAAAGGACTGTAAATACAATTCTAGATAAAACTTAATTTAAAAGGACTGTTAATACAATTCTAGATAAACCTTAATTTAAAGGGACTGTAAATACAATTCTAGATAAACCTTAATTTAAAGGGACTATAAGTACAATTTTAGATAAACCTTAATTTAAAGGGACTGTAAATACATTTTTAGATAAATCTTAATTTAAAGGGACTGTTAATACAATAACAATTGTACACTAGGTTTATCAGTACTGGAGATAGTAAACAATGAGAAGCTGACAACCTCGGCTAAGATGGTTGGAAAATTTCTAAAAACTGAATTTCAAAAAATCATGATCAGGTAAGGTCAAGTCAGGTTATATATTGTCAAGTAATTCAGGTCAGGTCTGATCAGTTGAACGGATGATTTAAATGGGGATACTCTAGATCATTTTAGGTAAAATGAGGTCAGTTTAAGCCATTTTAGGTAAAATAAGGTCAGTTCAAGCCATTTTAGGTAAAATAAGGTCAGTTTAGGTCATTTAATGTAAAATGAAGTCATTCTAGGTCATGTAACGTAAAATGAAGTCAGTCTAGGTCATTTAAGGTAAAATGAGGTCAGTCTAGTTGATTAAGTGTAAAATGAGGTCAGTCTAGGTCATTTAAGGTAAAATGAGGTGAGTCTAGTTGATTAAGTGTAAAATGAGGTCAGTCTAGGTCATTTAAGGTAAAATGAGGATAGTCTAGGTCATTATAGGTAAAATGAGGTGAGTTTAGGCCAAGTTAGGTCAAATGAGGTCAGTCTAAGTCATTTAAGGTGAAATGAGGTCAGTCTTGGTCATTTCAGGTAAAATGAGGTCAGTCTTGGTCATTTAAGGTAAAATGATGTCAGTCTAGGTCATTTAAGGTAAAATGATGTCAGTCTAGGTCATTATAGGTATAATGAGGCCAGTCTTGGTCATTTAAGGTAAAATGAGGTAAGTCTTGGTCATTTCAGGTAAAATGAGGTCAGTCTTGGTCATTTAAGGTAAAATGAGGTGAGTCTAGGTCATTTAAGGTTAGATAGTTCATTTTTCGTCAATAAACGTAAGGTTATTATGTTCGAATATTTGTACACGCCCGACGATTTTAGATTACGAATATCTCTATTTCTGTTATTGTTATTCTGTTATTATTATTAAAATTTGTATTCTTGGTTTTGTTGATACATGTTGTGAACGTTTGAGCATTGTTATTTTCTAGTATTATTATTTCTATATTTAGATACGACGTTTCTGCTTCTGGTGATCTTTAATTTTAAAACCTCAATATGATTTATCCTTTTATCTGTGTTAACACATTGTCTACAGTTTTTTATAATTTCATACGTTTCTATATTTTGAAGAATAACACGATTTGAAAGTTTCCCCAATTATCAATAAGCTTAAAATCACCACAAAAAAAAGTCAACAAAAAATAATGCCAACATTTTTTTCCACATTGAAGACCCTTGATTTTTTAATTGTTTCAGTCACCAGATTTTGGGGGATTTCCGCGGCCTTGGTCTCCTGTTTTCCTTAGAGATAGTTGAGTCTAAAACCAGCAAAACACCAGCTCCTGAGCTAGCCACAGAGGTAAATAAACACCAGCTCCTGAGGTAGCCACAGAGGTAAATAAACACCAGCTCCTGACCTAGCCACAGAGGTAAATAAACACCAGCTTCTGACCTAGCCACAGAGGTAAATAAACACCAGCTTCTGACCTAGCCACAGAGGTAAATAAACACCAGCTCCTGACCTAGCCACAGAGGTAAATAAACACCAGCTCCTGACCTAGCCACAGAGGTAAATAAACACCAGCTCCTGACTTAGCCACAGAGGTAAATAAAAAGTTTAAATACACAGTGTTAACTGTTACCCACTAAGACTGAAAAGTCGATCTGAAACTCTAGAAACTCTTAAAATATGACTTCTACCCTGAATGTAGTCTTTTATGGTATATTTAATGATCAGGCGACGAAAGAAACAAGCTTACGGTTGATGGGAATCATAAATATCAGTCTGAAGTCTCATCTTTTGTGGCTGACCCTGTATATGCAAAATAAAAGTAGCCCTTTCACGAACTTAGATAGACAAACCATGATATCAGATCTCAAACATATGCAGCCTGTATGTTAATTACTTTCAAACTTTATTAAGGTATGAAATTTAAATTTAAGATATGAGATTATAAAAAGATCAATTATCTCAGTTTCATTTGAAATTGACGGTGACCAGACAAATTAAATTGAATTATAACATTAAAGTGAATTTCCTTATGTTTTTACTGACCCTCCATTTAAAGAGGAGGATGTCTGTTTTATGGTTCTCTTGAAACCTTAATCTGATTATTTGTATGGGAAAAATGTCTTGAATCCACTGTAAGCAGTGCACTACCCCCAAAGAAACATATTTTTATAATTAATTGTTTAAGGCTATGTATGGTTTAAAGTTTCACAATGTGCTGGTTGCAATCACTGGGCGACAGAAGAATATTTTACTCATCACACCTCCGATGTGCTTCAACATTGAAAATGCAAGGTAAGGCCGATTTTTGTTTTAATGTTTTGGTTTTTATTTCATCAAGTTATTAGTTATCAAGACTAGCTTACTTTTGAAAATTTAAAAATTTGAAAAATGATTATTTTGTTTTTTTATTATTGTATATTTTGTAGACGCCTGTGTAAAAACTTGGACGACGTTTTGCGGACAATTGAACAAAATTTAGAAAACAAATCCGTCATCGTGGCCAGGTAACAAAAAAAATTTAGTCAAATATCTTTAAACGAAACGGTCGCTGTAATTTTGCCAGAAATGGGAGCCAGAACTTTTAATGTCAGACTCACGACAAAATGGACAGCCTTGTTTTTTATTATGATAGTTGACAATTTTTTGATACGGTTTTTCTAATAATAAATATGTTAATTTGATTTGATATCTATTAATCTCAAACAACCAAAGGATGGCCATTCAATCTAAAGGACAATCATAAACTCTTTAGTAAGGAATGCATAAGGTTTGATAGGCGTAGCCGTAAAAACACTCTGTAGTAATTCTTGCGCCTACATTTTTCGAAATGTTTAATCTATAATCAAAAGGTAATTGTTTATGCAGCACACAAAAGGCAGAAAATGAAACAATTAAATGTGGGGCGAGGCTGCGGCTAGGTTAACAGTTTGTGGGGAAAGCGCTGCAGCAATAATTAAAACTTAAGAGAGCATTTGCAGAAAGTCACATGCGGCAAATCTGAATAATGCCGCAAATTATTTTGATTATATTTCTGATTTTAGACCGGGCATTAATGTGACCACCAGTCAGAGATTTAAACGGTCTGCGGAATTGGAAGGAAACGAAGAATCTTTAATCTCGAAACGAAGTCGAGTTTCTGAGTCCGAGGATAGATATAACGATATGGATTAAACAAGAATTGACGAAAACTTTTTTTGTGCCCTGTTAGTTCAATTTCTTCATCTCTCTTAAACTCTTTAAATATTATTTATGGTTCGGGGTTCCCTTTGATCAGTTTTTCTTCTACTTTCTTTTATTAAAGTAAAAAATAATTGAATAGAAATTAATACATTTTCGTCCTAAATATATATTTTTTTGCAAAAACAAACCTCTTTTGTTTTCACAATTTTCATTTATTTTTATTTATTCTATTTTTTACACCTCCGTCGCGTCGTACCTTATTTTGTATTAATATTTTGTAATACAGATTTCTTGTTAATTTTCATTTTGTTTATTTTCATCCCCCCCCCTCATCACCCACACACCCGGTGGTAAATGAAAAAAAAACTGTGTGCAAATTTTATTTTTTAATAAATATTATTTAGATTTAATGACGACCTCTAATTCGGTGATCGGCATAAATGTTAAATGTAAATACTGAAACACAGTTGCAAGTAACCAATAAACATTGTTAATGGAATTTTTCACAATATTAGAATAAATAAAATCAATACAGTTTACTAATCGAAAATTCAATTTAATTAATTTTATAATAATTAATGTAAAAATATCAGAATAGATTAATTTGTAAAATGTTGTTTGATTTTACCCTCGTCATAGTGCACAATTTAGTACCGCGTACCCTGAACAGTTTGAAACCTGATTTAACATTCTTAAGATTCAGAAGAATTGAACACTAAGAAGAGTGACCCACTCATTATGTCCTATTAAATGGATTATGTTATATTGACAGACGGAAATGCCCGATTCTAAACAGTCCTCTTAAACTTTTATCTGATTATAGATTGTGAAGATAACGTCGGTTTTCTTACTTGAAAGGTGTTTAATTCTGACTGAATCTCGTTGTTTCTGGAGCAGGAAATAAGCAAGCCACGAGAGCATAGAAATCACAAAGAATAAACTTTTCCCACGAGAAAGTTGTTCATTCGTTTTTTTAGATATCTCCGACCCACCATGAATGTATCTTTATGTGCTCAACCGTTAACGATTTCAAAAACATTTAACGAAATTTCATTTTTCATTTTTTCATTTTTGGCGTTTCGCGTTGTTAACGCTGTTAATTTTGAAATAACGTTACTTAAAACGGTTGTTGAAAATTTTCCATTAGCGCGCGCCGTTTCTAAAATTGAGATCGTCAAACGGAAACTACCGTTAATGTAACTAAGTTTTGTTCTTACCCTCTAAAACTAACGGCTACCTGAGATTTTATTTTTAGAACAGTTGGAACTAACCGTTAACGAAACGGCTTGAAAAAGTTGGAACGTGCCCAACCCCCTAGTTAAGTTCCATGCAACTACTGAAAATCCCCATTTCACGGTTGAACATAGGTCTCAAAGTTAAGGCTTTTTAACCAGGGCCCCTTATTCTCTGTGGGGGGGGGGGGTGATTTACGGCCTCGCGTTCTGCTTCTATATCTGGACACTATTTTTTGACATAAAGGTAGGAGAGAGAATTGATATAACGAGAAGGTTATATTCATGTTTTACAGTTTGTTATCAACCATGGAACCTCCAGGGTCTATTATTCGTAGACCAGGTAATAATTGGGATATCAAGGTATGGGGTAATCCAAAAAACATGAGACGGATGGACGGAATTTGTTCACTCATTTCCCAAACTTATTCATATCTTAAGCTGTAAACTTGTTAATCTATATATAAATTTGGCTTGTCTGTCTGTTTGTCTGTTTGTTTGTTTGTATCCAATAAACGGCTGAACCGATCGGGCCCAAATTTTTTGTGGGACCTCACGTGACCTCAGGGAAGGTTTATGAATGATCATAAATTTTAAAAATTTATGTTTAAAAGTTTTTTATTTTTGAAAAATTTTGAAAATGCGCAAAAAAATATTATGAAATCCGCAAACTTTTTTTGTCTTTGTTTTATACTGTACAAAGAGAAGATGGTCACAGATAAAGCCACAGTTAAAAGTTGAAAGAGAAGATGGGCGCGAAGCGCCCTAAAAGCCTAGAAAGAAGGGCGCGAAGCGCCCTGAATTTCTAGTTTCTTATAAACGTCCTAAGATTGTCAAATTTAAAGAGTTTAGATCGTCTTCAATTCTCATGCATTGTGGGTAAGAGCTGTATATGGGCTGTTAATTATTACCACATTAACATAATAGAAATTTTACAAATTTTAGTCAAGGTTCTTTCATAGACTGACCCCAGTTCTTCGATGAAAGACAACAATTTATAATCAAAGAAATTTAAAGAGAGTGACCGGCAATGCATGGTAATTGAACTGAGAATGAGACATTTTTTAGAATTCATTTGAGAAATATAAAGTGTTTTAATGATGCATAATTACTGCGCAAAACGTAACCAACCAAATGGATGATTTTGAAGTTTGAACATCGGCTTTGCGCTCAATCTCATTAAAAAGTCAAATGAATCCTTAAAAGAATTTCTCCACAATACTACATTCTCAGTTCAACTACCATACATTGCCGGTCACTCCCTTTAATGTTATAAACGGGACAGCTAAATCTAATTTAAAATTTTTTTCTTTTTAATTCAATGAAGAGACCTAGATTTGAAGTATTTTGGATTTTTTTTGCAACATTTTTTTCTTTATAACTGGATTTTGCAAAAAAAATCAATTTTTACAAATTTGCGAATTTGTTTGCAGATTCTGAAAGTAGAGCATAAGAGCTTTCCATTGATGTATCATTTGTAATATTTGGAAATCAAACATGGGATTTAGATGGGGGGGGGGGTCAAATTACCTCCCCCCCCCCACTGTGTTTATTTCTGCTTATAAAACTAAAAGAAAGTGTATTAATCCAACAACAAAACAGTTTAATTGTTTCACCATCCTTTCGCAAAATTACCCTTTTTCAATTGTAGAATTACAATTTCTTTTTTTTGCATCTAATTTTTTCGTGACATTATTTTCTTCTGTCTTAAGAATTACTTATGAAAAAATATGAATCCATCCAAGAAAATCACTGAAAGGAAGTATTTTTACAAGTTTCTGAAAAATTAAAAATCTAAAGTTGATTTGAGTTTAATTGTGAAAATTATTCACCCTTTTCAATGGCTGGTTAATCTGTAAATATAGTTTTGTGAACAAATATGTGTCGTTATTCAATCCAATTTACAATTGCTTACAGTTCTAACAATTGTTATGTTTAGGGCTACAAAAAAGTATAATTGAGCTAGTAATGTAATTTCAAAGACCAAGGTGTTGCGACTCAACAAAGTAACCCCAGTCATTAAAATTGATGCAAGTCTTTGTATTAGTCTGGATCTATGTACGCTAGATAACTTAAGATTTACATTTCTCTTTTTAAATCGCGGATTATGACTTTATTTTAAATTCGCATATTTCAAAAGCTGGCCGAGTTAATTTTATTCAAAAATTAAAGAATACTAGAGCGACAAAATGAACTTAACACGTACTCTCAAAATATACTGAACACGTACTCTCAAAATGAACTTAACACGTACTCTCAAAATATACTGAACACGTACTCTCAAAATATACTGAACACGTACTCTCAAAATGAACTTAACACGTACTCTCAAAATATACTGAACACGTACTCTCAAAATGAGCTGAACATGTACTTTCATTATGAACTGAACACGTACTCTCAAAATTTACTAAACACGTACTCTCATAATGAACTGAACACGTACTCTCAAAATATACTGAACACGTACTCTCAAAATAACTGAACATGTACTCTCATAATATACTGAACACGTGCTATCAAAATGAACTGAACAGTGAACACGTACTCTCAAAATATACTGAACACGTACTCTCAAAATAAACTGAACATGTACTCTCAAAATATACTGAACTACTCTAAAAATATACTGAACACGTACTCTCAAAACTAACTGAACACGTACTCTCAAAATATACTGAACATGTACTCTCAAAATTAACTGAACACGTACTCTCAAAATATACTGAACACGTACTCTCAAAATNACCAAAAAGACTACATTTTTGGGTGTTACTAACCTTATAGAGTCTAAAATTTATTTCTTTGCTCGAAAAACTAACTTAAACTTTTTAACTTTATAAATTTATAAATTTATTACTTAACTTCATCACAGCTAACTAAATCAATAATCACAGCATCATTAAAAAATCATATTTTCACTAATAAACGAAATTTCTTCTGAAATTTTTAGATAGAATTTGCTCCATCTACATATTCACCAACTCTTTTAAGCTTCAATTTTCTTGGATTTGCTTGCACAAACATTTCAATGATTTTCTCAGTAGTGAGCCATAAGTGCGAGATCGTTAAGTCTGCTTTCCGTCATAGTAATACATCTTGTGTAATGAAGTATTCTCTTTAGAAGGCTAAAACTTCTCTTTCCTTCATTTGATGTTATTGTCATCATTGCATAAAGGGGAACTTGAAATTACGCTTAATATTTCTTTATGGATATAATGGAATTGACTCCTTGCCACAAACTCTGATTTTCTAATCACTATATATTTGGAACCAAATGTTGTAGACCTTAGACTTTTCAAACTATGAATTCTGTTAGACCAAATATTCTGAATTTGAAATATCAAAGGTTTACAACATCAGGTTTAAAAGGTTTGAATATTTGAGTTTGTGCCAAAGACTCAATTTCTTTATTAATTGACTGAAAGAAGAAATAGAAACATAGAAAATAGAATACCATTATTACATCTTCCATCATGTATATGTCGAGGTCTCGTTTTTGCGAAAGTTTTAGTTTAAAGTATATTAAAATTTTGGTTTAACAGTGAATTTAGACAAATCCTTAGTCTTTTTCATTGTCAGGTATTACTTTTTTTTAATTTGTTTCCTTTTAATTTTGCATTTTCCAGTAGTCCTCTTGCCCCCTGGAACTCCCAGGGGGGGGGGCAAGAGGACTACTGCCCCCCCCCCTATGTACGCCACTGTGAACACGTACTCTCAAAATGTACTGAACACGTACTCGCAAATTAAACTAAACATGTACTCTCAACATTAATGTTTTTAACCATTATGAACAGGGACTGAATTTTATGAACTGCCTACTGTCGGTTCATTCAAACCGCCCGTTAAAAGTTGAAGATAAAATCGGAATTTGAATGGGTGATTCAAATTTGAACCGGCCCGGCGGAAGGTATTAAAATTGATTAAACTCGGTCCCCATGGATAACTATTGTATACTGTCTAGAAATGTTCCTCATCGTCCACTGTTTTTTGTTCCTCAACATCCTACACTCTACACAGGCAGAAGTTGAGGTATATACAAATATATATTCTATTCTGTTATTTAACATTCGGTGATGGTGATGGACCAAACCTCTGTAGAGTAAAAAAAAGTATATGTTAGTTCCGCATTAATTGAAAATATATTTCGGCCAGGGTTGACGAGCGGGGAAAGGCAGGCGGCCATGAGCCACCACTATTTCCCCTTCCGTGCCACATATTAGCTTTTTTCTCTTCCGGCAGCCATGAGCCACCACTATTTCCCCTTCCGTACCCCCACATTTGACTGTTCCGGGCAAAACTACTTTTTTAAATGGTATATTTAGGGCCTTTAAATTGTGATTTTAAAAATCCAGCCGCGTCACGCAAAAAAGCACAACTCAAACCATTTTTTCAATTCTACTTAAGATTAATATTTTGTGTGTTGAATTCTTAAACTGTTTTACAATGAAACTTTTGACAAATTTGACTGAGTATTGCATCTTGAAATATCACAAAGTCTAATGATTATTGGTTAATGAGTGATTTTAAGATGGATTTAGTATAATGAGTCAAATTGAACAATCATTAGACTTTGTGATATTTCAAGATGCAATACTCAGTCAAATTTGTCAAAAATTTCATTGTAAAACAGTTAGGTTGGGTTAAGTATCAGATATGTATGTATGCATCTAATAATTGTATATATAGCATATGTATGTATATGGAACAGAAATTTAAAACGAGCCGGCATTAATGTTAATGTAACATTTCTACTAAATGATTTTTAAACGTAGTATAATAACGTTTCAATTCTTGCTGGATATGAACCAAAATGTTTCAAAAGCGTTTTTAAAACGTTTATAACTGCCTAATAAACCATATAAAAGCCCTGAAAAAAAAACCTGAAAAATTAAAATTTTACATATAAATCCAAAATAATTGTTCTCCCTAAGAAATCTTTGGGATAGGAAGATGATTTGCAACTTTTAATTTGAAATAAGTTGTTACACTTTAGAAATGTGTATTGCATTTGGGGTGTTAAAAGAGATAGATTATGATATACAGAAAATAAACACTCCCTTGCAGTAAGGACTTTATTTCACAACGTGACATTTTACTTTCAATTGTTTACAACAACAACATGGTTAACTTTTAATTTCTGCCCATATATCAATCAATCGATTTGAGATTGTATTGGATGGAATTATATTGACCCCTGAATTTTAGACTGTTCAGTCTGCAGCAGAGGAAACGAATGAAGATCCAGCCTTTGATGTAGGGTTCGGAGTTGCCAAGTACGATTAGGGAGGGGGTACCGGGCAGCCATGATCCCCGCAAAATGGTCTTCAAGCTTCTGGATTTGCAGATGAGTAAATGACCTGGCGCTACTCCTATTCATGAGAATAGAAATTATAACAATAATGTATAAAAATGTTCAGAAAAAATATTTAATATTTTAATAGGTATGAAATGTTTTTGGATATTCATAAAACACCGCATTCATATGTAAAAATTGAATATTTTCCTTTAAAAATGTTATTTATTACTTCTATAATATCTATTCTAACATTTAGGGGTAGCACCATCTGCGAATACCGAGCCTTAGAGACAATTTTAATTGCAGGGCTCATGGCGGCCCTACACCCCCTCCCTCGCACGATTCCATTTCTTCCAATCATTACTAATGCAGTGAAAAAAAATGGAATAGTTGTCTTGCACAATTCTTTTACTCCTCTGAGCATAAAATTAAACCAAATCTTTTTCAATGTCGCTCTGTCAACATGATTATTATGATTCTGATTCTGACTATTCCTTTTTTTCCATTTATACTCTAAATTGTACTGTACTGTTCTATACTGTACTGTACTGTTGATTCTGATTCTGACTAATGCTTTTTATTTTTCCATTTATACTCTAAATTGTAATGTACTGTTCTGTACTGTACTGTACTGTTCTATACTGTACTGTACTGTTGCTTCTGATTCTGACTAATGCTTTTTATTTTTCCATTTATACTCTAAATTGTAATGTACTGTTCTGTACTGTACTGTACTGTTGATTCTGATTCTGGCTAATGCTTTTTATTTTTCCATTTAAACTCTAGATTGTACTGTACTGTACTGTACTGTACTGTACTGTACTGTACTGTACTGTACTGTACTGTACTGTACTGTACTGTATTGTACTGTACTGTACTGTACTGTACTGTACTGTTGCTTCTGATTCTGACTAATGCTTTTTATTTTTCCATCTATACTCTAAATTGTATTATAACTTGAATCTAAAATATGGATTGTCAAACAATTCTATTACTTACCACGGAAGTTTAAGAAAAACAAGTTTCTGAAAAAAAACCTGGAAATCAAAACGTTGGTAAAAAAGTCCCAATTTTCTGAAGTCCTGGACAAATTGTCACTGGAAATAAAGTCCTCCGTTTAAGATTCCCGGGACTTTATTCCTTTATTAATATGAGGCTGCCAATAAAGTCTCAGGAAATAAGATCACAGGAATTAAAGTCCTGAAGAAAATAAATCTGAAGAAAAAAAAACCAAGGAAAAAGTTCTAAGTCTTGGGAAAATAAGTCTGAGACTTTTTTCGTAAACAAACCTTTTCTTCTATGCATCTGCATATTATATATAGCCCGAGGTATTTTTAATATCAATCCCCTATCTTTTCCATGGTTGTAAACATCCTTTGTTCCCATGCGTTTTCCACTATAAAAGGATTTTTTTTTCCAGGAACTTTTTTGTATAAAATCATGCTTGAATCACAAAAAATGTCTTAGAAAATAAGTCTCAAAATGGTAGGACTTTATTTCCAGAGACTTTTTATGTCATAGACTTTTTCCACGGGACTTTTTAGCGCCAAAATTTAAGACCTCATTTCCGAAAACTTTTCTAAAGAACTTTTTTGGCGGTTAGCGTGCAGTGTGAATGTGTTGTGCACTATATATAGGTTAGCGTGCAGTGTGAATGTGTTGTGCACTATATATAGTTTATATATAGGTTAGCGTGCAGTGTGAATGTGTTGTGCACTATATATAGGTTAGCGTGCAGTGTGAATGTGTTGTGCACTATATATAGTTTATATATAGGTTAGCGTGCAGTGTGAATGTGTTGTGCACTATATATAGTTTATATATAGGTTAGCGTGCAGTGTGAATGTGTTGTGCACTATATATAGTTTTTTAGAGAAAAATTTAATTATTTATTTGACATTTACAGACACTTCATGCCTTTACCTAACACGGTGGTCGGATCTCACTGCGCCTGGAAACTTCGGCTTAATAGTGTTCCTAACAGAATACCAGGTATACCTAACTTCAGTATAATAGTGTTCCTAAAAGAATACCAGGTATACCTAACTTCAGTATAATAGTGTTCCTAACAGAATACCAGGTATACCTAACTTCAGTATAATAGTGTTCCTAACAGAATACAAGGTATACCTAACTTCAGTATAATAGTGTTCCAAACAGAATACCAGGTATACCTAACTTCAGTATAATAGTGTTCCAAACAGAATACCAGGTATACCTAACTTCAGTATAATAGTGTTCCTAACAGAATACAAGGTATACCTAACTTCAGTATAATAGTGTTCCTAACAGAATACCAGGTATACCTAACTTCAGTATAATAGTATTCCTAACAGAATACCAGGTATACCTAATTTCAGTATAATAGTGTTCCTAACAGAATACAAGATATACCTAACTTCAGTATAATAGTGTTCCTAACAGAATACAAGGTATACCTAACTTCCACTTGCTAGATCTGTCCTCAATTGTCGGTTAAAAAGTTTTCGGAGATAAAATCCATAATTTTGGCACTCGAAAAGTTTGAAAAGTCCTGTCGAAAAAAGTCCTTGAAATAAGAAGTCTCTGGTCCAGGTTTTTTTTCAGAAACTTTTGCCTTTGTCTTTTCTACATAGATACTCTGAAGTCAGCCTGGTACTATAAATAGATACCCTGAAGTCAGCCTGGTACTATACATAGATACTCTGAAGTCAACCTGGTACTATACATAGATACTCTGAAGTCAGTCTGGTACTATAAATAGATACCCTGAAGTCAGCCTGGTACTATACATAGATACTCTGAAGTCATGGAATAATCTCTGTCATCGGTCATGTATTTTTAGAAACAATAACAGAGATATTGTGTCGATCAGCCGACACCAACTGCGGAGGATCCCACTTCTACGGCTGCAGGCAGATGAAGGTAAAATGTTTAATCCTATCCCCCCCCCTCTAAATCCTATGATTGATGACCAAATATGACAAATTATACATCATTGGAGAGCTCTTGTGCTCTACTTTTAGAATCTGCAAAAATAAATTTTTTTTTGCAAAATGTTTGCCAAACAATGTCCAAAAAATGATATAATATACATTTTTGAAACGCTTTTGATCATGCCATTTTAAATATGTAAAAAAAATTTCCAGAATTTTAAATAACCTAATTTCTTTGACGGGTTGTAAGCATACAATTGGCAAAAATTTCTATGGAAAACTTGTGCAAACGCCGAAAATTAAAAAATAATAACGCTTAAAAAATACAAAAGAATTAAGAATACGCTTTTACTATTAGATTTATTTAAAAATATATATTTATTCTGTAATTTGAGACCTTAGAGCATGCAAATCTAAATGGACAGAATCAGCTGAACTCATCCTCGATATCTTTTCTGCAAGATTTGTCAGATCCTCTAAACTTTGTCCGATGACTAACGAAAAAAATGAGTTTAACTATAACTCCAATTCAAATTTAAAATCATATTTTGTAGTCAAAGATTTTGGTTGGATACACAGAACACTATGGCAACGAACAGTTCTCCAGATTAAGGAATTTTCAAAAAAAAATATAAAAATTTAACCCGTGTTTTTGACCAAATTGTCACGCATTGTCATGTTCTGGCCAAATATAATCGTTCAGAATTGTCTTCCCCTCACTTTAAAATTTTTTAAATTTTATATAGATATTGCAAAGTCACAATTTTCTGATCCATTTATATTCTTTGTAAAATTCTTAAAAATTTGATCATTTCCGTCAAATCTTGTTTTGATTATATTAGTTACACTTGCATCCAAAGAGAATAGATTATGAACTCGGGAATGCATGGCAAGCTATCAGAGAATTGATTTAAAGAAAATCAAATAATTTTCAAAAAACTTTTCTATAAAATGATGTTTCAGGGCCCAAGTGTGTGCAGTACAATTGCAGTACCGAAACAATCCAAGAAAACGGCCGTTTTACACTTTTTTTGAGTAAATTCCACTCTATTTATAATAAATTCTTTTTGCTTGCATCCTAATGATAGACGATTCTTTTTTTTCATTGCTTATATATCTTCTAGTAGGACAAAAGTATAAGAATGTGCAAGATTATGAAAAGACAGTGAACAAAATGTTATTTTTGAAAAACGCAGAACTATGCGGAATGTGACCTTCAACATCGGCTGCAGCTGTGTATATAGGTTATAATTCTTTTTATTTAATAAAACTAAAGCAAAGAATTCTAGAAGTTTTTTGCGCATTAATTGTGGCAGCTACAACACTTGCTGTTTTCGCGGATTTTTTTTCGCAAAATTTTTTCGAGAAGTTTTCCATAGTTTTCGCATTTTTTCGCTTAATTAATTTTCGCGAAAAATGCGAAAAAGTCTGCGAAATACGAACGAACATGTTCGCATTTTTTCGCTAAAGTTTTTTTTCGCCGCGCTGCTGGAAACCCTGGTCAAGACTGATAGATAGATAGGTTATTCTTTTCAAGAAAGAAGGACCCACGGCACAAGAGATCATTATAAAAAATCGATTAAAAATTTATAATTAAAAATTAAAATTAAAAAATTAAAAATTATTTTTAAGAAAATATTTAAATAATATAAACCTTATAACAAAAAGCATATCAAAAACACATAAAAAATACACAAATAAAAAGTACACAACGGCCTATGATGCGCAATTTTATATTTAAAAAAATACACTTTTTTTTGCAAACGAAGCAAAGTAATATTATGAAATAACATGAAATAAGTATATCATTAAGCATATTATGATATTATGTAATACCATAACTGCAGTGGCGCAATTTCTAATAGAATTTCGAACTATTTTCTCTTCTTCGACTGAAAGAGAGTCAGCCATTTTTAATTCTAGTATCCTGGAGTAGTATCCTGGAGCCTAGTATCCGATTAAAATTAAGAGCTGTTTAAAAAATAAAGATAGTGAATATTAAAAAATGACATTAAATTCTAATCAACCATGCCAAATCACTTACGATTTATTTATGCTAAATGTGCAATTACAACTTATCGTTTGCTTTATTCATAAATCATTTTTTTCCATCGCATAACACAAAATAATTAGAAAAATGAGGCTACAGACCCCACCGTGTGCGAAAAATTGTATACGAATGAAATCTTAAATAAATAAATAAATAACGATTTATTGTGATAAAATCAAATAGTGATTATCATTCACCAATTCAATGAGATTGGTGAAATTCTGTTAAATTTTGATGGGCACCTTATCATAGCACCAACTAATTAAACAAGGTTGGGGAAAATTGTAATTTTTGTGATTTTAACAACTCTTATTAAGCACAACCTAATCAACAGCATTTATTACGACATAAATGGTGATGGGACATTTTTGTTGGAAAACATTTCACAAAAGAAATTTTATAGATAAGAAAGCATAAGCATAGGACATTTTTCATAGATAGGGCATTTGAAAGACAGGATATTTAATAGATTATGACATTTTATAGAGTAAGGCATTTTATGGAGAAAGCCAATTCATAGAGAAAGGCATTTCATAGAGAAAGGCATTTCATAGAGAAAGTCAATATATAGAGAAAGGCATTTCATTGAGAAAGGCATTTCATAGAGAAAGCCAATTCATAGAGAAAGGCATTTCAAAGAGAAAGCCAATTCATAGAGAAAGGCATTTCATAGAGAAAGGCATTTCATAAATTCATAGAGAAAGGCATTTCATAGAGAAAGGCATTTCATAGAGAAAGCCAATTCATAGAGAAAGGCATTTTATAGAGAAAGGCATTTCATAGAGAAAGGCATTTCATAGAGAAAGGCATTTCATAGAGAAAGCTAATTCATAGAGAAAGGCATTTCATAGAGAAAGGCATTTCATAGAGAAAGCCAATTCATAGAGAAAGTCAATTCATAGAGAAAGGCATTTCATAGAGAAAGCCAATTTATAGAGAAAGGCATTTTATAGAGAAAGCCAATTCATAGAGAAAGACATTTCACAGAGAAAGCCAATTCATAGAGAAAGACAATTCATAAAGAAAGCCAATTCATAGAGAAATTTATATACAGAGAGGAAGATCTGTTTTCTTAAATCAGTAATAAATTGAAAATGGATAATTTAGGAAAAACTTTAAAGATAATTAGTCTTTGTCACAAACAAATCTTTGAAAACCCATTTTCGTAAACCTAAGATATTTTAAGCTATGAATTCTGTTAGATCAGCAAGTACAAGTATGAAATATCAAAGATTTACACCACCAGGTTGCAAAGATATAGGAATTAGAAAATTTGAGTTTGTGGCAAAGACTCAACTCCTTTACCTTAAAATATAAGATAAATATTTTTAAAAAAATCTCTGTCCTTAAAATGTCTTTTATGTTAAATGTCTTGCCTAGCTATGAAATGCGCCTACTATTAAAAATCCTCATTTTTCCTGTAGATCCCCGGTTTTCCTGGAGAATATAAGCAGCGGACCTATGGAGAAAAGAGGGGGAAGAAGAAACAATAGAAACCAACTCGCGCTTCAGGAAATCAATATAAAGAGAAAGATGGCAAAATGATGTCTGTCTTGATACTTAAAACAACCATAATTAAAAGTAACTTTTTGCAGTGTTGGGAAATAATAGCTTTGAAAAACTTTTAATGTTTTGGTGCTCAAATACTTTGAACTTGTGAAGGTTTCAATTACTAACATTTAAAAAATTAAAAAGTTTAACTATGCAAAATTCTTATCCTAGTAGAAAACATAAGGAAAAAATTACCCAAAGAAATCGTTTTGGGTACTTTTTTGAGAATATATTCTCTCATAGGGTCGAAAATTCGCATAGTGTTAAGAAAGCAAATGATAAGAAAAAATTTTTTGGAAAAGCTTCTTAGATTTTTATCATTAAAAACTACGTTGCAACTTGCATCTTTTTTTTCTAGATTAAATTTATATATCATTTGCTTCAGGAATATCCTTTGTCTCGCCATGAAATGAAAAGAGGCGGCTCTAAGGTTCAGAAGGCCCCAAGAGTACAGCAGGTCCAAAGGGGTTATGAGGTCCAAAGTGTTCAGGAGGTCCAAAGGGGTTATGACATCCCAACTGTACAGCAGGTCCAAAGAGGTTATGAGGTCCCTAGGGTACAAGAGGTCCAAAGGGGTTATGTGGTCCCTAGCGTACAGGAAGTCCAAATAGGTTATGAGGTCCCTAGGGTACTGGAGGTCCAAAGGGGTTATGAGGTCCCTAGGGTACAGGAGGTCCAACTAATGTACCCTTTTATAAGTTCTGTTGAGACCGAGCCTAGTAGAGCCTAGTATCCTGGAGTAGTATCCTGGAGCCTAGTATCCTGGAGCCTAGTATCCTGGAGTAGTATCCTGGAGCCTAGTATCCTGGAGCCTAGTATCCTGGAGTAGGGGAAGATCTGAACCTGAATAATGGAGATAAACTTTATCTGCTCATTCTTCAAGAAATGGAAAAATCTTAAATGTTGTTAAATTTGAAACAAATTCTACAAAGGCTGGGGTAGAATTTGAATTGTGAGATCAAATTATGACAACAACAATAAATGATTGATCAATATTTTAAACAACTATAACAAATTTTGTTCAACATTTTTATTTGTTATTTCCAACATTATTCGGTGATAAATATAAAATAAAACAGTATTTTAGAAGTAGATAGTTACTAAGATTAATTTTGCTTAAAAAATACAGACAATAAAACATGACCATCGATCTTCGAGAATGGTAAAAGTTATCAAAGATAACTGCACTAACATGACAACTGCACTATATAACATGATAACTGCACTATATAACATGATAACTGCACTATATAACATGATAACTTCACTATATAACATGACAACTACACTATATAACATGATAACTGCACTATATAACATGACAACTGCACTAAATAACATGACAACTGCACTATATAACATGATAACTACACTATATAACATGATAACAGCACTATATAACATGATAACTGCACTATATAACATGACAACCACTATATAACATGATAACTGCACTATATAACATGATAACTGCACAACTGCACTATATAACATGATAACTACACTATATAACATGACAACTGCACTATATAACATGACAACTGCGCTATATAACAAGACAACTGCACTAAATAACAAGATAACTGCACTATATAACATGATAACTGCACTATATAACATGATAACTACACTATATAACATGACAACTGCACTATATAACATGACAACTGCGCTATATAACAAGACAACTGCACTAAATAACAAGATAACTGAACTATATAACATGACAACTGCACTATATAACAAGACAACTGCACTATATAACATGACAACTGCACTATATAACAAGATAACTGCACTATATGAATGACAACTGATGACTTCTGAAATAGATGACTGCTAATGAAGACAAATGACTAAGAATGAATGGAATTAATGTTAAAGACCACCGATTCTAAAAATGACTACAGATGACTTGTATATGACGGATAGTGAAGAATAATGACTACATATTACTGCAAAATACTGCAAATGACCACAGATTACTTATATATGACTGAAAATGACGAATGATTACGGTTGAATGTAGATGACTGTTAACAACCACCAATTCTATAAATGACTACAGATGACCAATAGATGACTGATAAAGATGACAAAGGACTAAGGATAAATGTAGAAGACTCTTAACGACTACTGATTTTGTAAATGAATACAGACGACTTATTTATGACTTCTGATGCCAAATGACTAAAGATGAATGTAGATGACTGTTGACGACCAAAGATTCTGTAAATGACTACAGATGACTTGTATAAGACAAATAATGAAGAAAAATGACTAAACATAACTAAAGATGACGAAAAACAACTATAGATTGCTACATATTACTATGGATGTCTACATATTACTATGGATGACTACATATTACTATATAGATGACTACAGATAAGTATAGATTACTACCAATAAGTATGGAGGACTACAGATGACCATAGATGACTACAGATAAAGTATTTACTCTACATGTCAACAGACTACTTCAAATAACTACAAGTTGCTGTTTACTACAGATGACTGAAACCGCGGGGTTGGATGAGTAAAGGTCCGAATTTCAAATAAATCCAAATATAACCAGAAGAAATTGAAAAGCCTCACATACTGCAAATGACTGTAGATTAGTAAAAAAAGACTACTGATGACCACAAATTATTACGAATGGCTAAAAATGACAACAGATGACCACATAAAATATAGACGGCTACAGAGGACTATATACGCTATACAAACATTATTGCCAATGACAAATGACTAGATGACAGTAGATGACTGCAAATGACTACAGGTGAATTTGATAAACTTTAAAAAAAATGATTTACAATTGTGATCTTAGTGACCTTTTGAAATATATTAAAGCAGTAATAGTTTTTAAAAAGAAAATTAGTCTTATTTAAAAACAATTTTTTTTTGTTCTCACATAAACTTAAAAATGTTAGTATTAAAAATGTATTCGGAAAAAATGTAAATCCGACCCAATTGTATCAACAAAGTGTGACAAATTTCTGGCGAATAAAACTCCTTTATTAATATTATGATTAATCATTAGACATATTTATGTTCTTTTTATTTTTGAAATATTTCGCGGCATTCATATGTCAATTTACATTTTCAAATTTGATTCTAGAAAATGAGATCACAATAATCTTCTTGGATCTAACTAGAGCATTTCCAAAATTTGTTTTGAAAGCACAAAAAAGTCAAAACTTCATTCAGACTTAGACAATAAAAAATTAAATCTGAAAAAAATCGTTCTATTTCCAAACATTTTTACACCACAATAAAATCAGATCATATTTGGAAATACCAGGACTATGAGAAATTTTTGATTATGGTTTTAAAAATCATATTTGTAAACGAAAATTTACAACAACAAAAAATACCGCAAATTATTTCCAAGATTTAAAACTACATTCAGGAATCGTCTCAAATTTTCTGGGACACTCTGTATTTAGTTTGATAATATTAATAAATGGCTGAAACTACTTTATAATGTCGCCTTTAACGTATCATATTTTATTGGTAAACTTATATAAAAGATGTTTGTAATTACTGGGGATGGCCAAACGCAGTTACCTGCGCATGCCGCAATGAATTATAAGAAGAGAGAGATTAGTATATATTTTAGGGTTAGGCTAGGTTAAGACAGTTTCTAGGCCGTGCGCTGCGGCTAGGGGGTCGAGCGCCGCGGCTAAGACAGGCTATAGGGGTCGAGCACCGCGGCTAGAACTGGCTCTCTCTCTGTCTTATAATTCATTCCGGCATGCGCTGGTGCCTAATTACTGTTACTAAAAAAGATGGTGTTTTTTTAAAAACAAATGGTAATATCGTTTTCATTGTACATTGAAAATGTTTATTATACCTGAAGCATTACAAAATTATGAACAATTTGTTCGAAATTTTTCAGAGCATGTTAGGGATATCTAACATATTTTTACATTCCTCCTAACCAGGGTTTCCAGCGTAAAAAAACTGTCACGAAAAAAATGCGAAATTTCGCGAAAATTTTCTTTCGTGTTTCACAAACTTTTTCGCGTGACATTTCGCAAAATAAAATTTGCTAAATGAAACGAAAACGATGAGGAATTTTGCAAAAAAACAAATAAAATATGCGACAAATTCGCGAAAAAATGCGAAAATGTCCACTTATTACGTGAAATTTCGCTTTACTCTGTTTGGCATAGAAAGAATAAATTTTGCGAAACAGATTAGTGAGAAAATTTTCGTTTTTTTCTACATTTTCGCAAATGATTTTTCCATCTTGCTGGAAACCCCCCATCTAACATTCTGTTCGTAAGTTTTGAATGTTTAAGTCTCGTTCACAGCGGTGTAGAAAAGGCAACAGTGATTTTGCTTATATAGCTGTTATTATTTAAACGTAACTAATACAGTCAAGGGGTCTATATAACAAATTTTAGGCGTTAATTTTGTGCACACCCCTGATAAAATTCGAATGACTATTAAAAATCTATATTTTAGAAATAAATATATTACTTTTCAAATATTTTTGTTATTGACGATTTAAAAATGGTGAATTTAATATCCACGTTACCAATTAATCTAATAATTAATTACAATTCTGCTTTAGAGGGAAGTTAAGGGAATTATACTTTGACCAGAGTTCCAAGGCCGTCTTTCGCTGCGCTCTGGATGTTTTGTAGGCAAAATTAGTTAAGGGAACTCGTGGTTAAGTAAATTTTTGATTACCCCGAAAAAGTAGCTTTACACAAATTTATCGCCTTTGATATGCAAATGCGAGAAACCTTTTCAGGAGCGAGCCATGCATTTACCTAATGTTTCTATTTTGGGGGAATCATAGGTCGGTAATGTTCCAAAGGCAGTAAAACATTTATTACTGGATGAAGAGCTCGTGTTGATGAAGGAAGACAAAGCTATACACTATACAGGGTATTCCAGGAAGCCTTACAGCTAATGTTCCTCTTTGTTGAAGTTCATTATTAAACCTATTTTTAAGTTTTGATCGGTGAGAACCAGATTAACTCTGGAATAGGAATTGATGACATGAAAGCAAGAATTAAGTGTAATTGTTATTGTTACAAATCATATAGTTTCACTAAAGTGACTTGTAAACTCACTTATTTATTCTACACAATTGCTACTCCTGTTCAGCAGACTATTTCAATACAAATTTCTAGTCTAGAAGTCGTCTTCATATTCTAGAGTTTTCACGTTTTCACTGTACTGACAATTACCCCTTTTACAGCACTTCCCAAATGTGGTCTGCCTTTTTTCTTTTTTAAGAATTTGGTAAAATTTAGTCAATTTTCGTTTTGTTTAATGCATAGTAATCTGGACGAGAATCCTTTCTTTATTTCTTCCGTAATATTTAAAGCAAAAAAAGTGGAAAACATTTGGGAAATCCCAGAGCTAAGGGAATTTCGTGTGAATCTTTTCAATAATCAGCACGAGTAAAATTAGATGGACAAATTGTTTCCGCAAATGACGCCAAAGACGATCTTCAAACCGTCTTTGGCGTAATTGTTTAACTATTGAAGATATTACTACTAACGTTTTATTAGATTTCTTAACCTTGAAAAATTATTTTTCAAAAACTTCAAATCGCCATTTATCCCCCCCCAGCATATCCTGGTTTTCAAGTACCCCAGCAGGGATAGGGTTAAAAGAAAAGAAAAGGGAATATAAAGAAACTGTAAGCACCCTCGAAGCAAAGATGATAGTGCCAGATTCACAATGGTACCCTTTAAAGCTTTGTTAGATCTCTTAGAGATGAATGTTTTTAATATCAAAAACTGTGTATTTTCAATGTGGGGTTTTGTGCAAAAGTAATTTCCGCATTTCGAGTTCAGAAACACATATTGGAATTATCAGAAATAAATACTTTCAAACCTTGAGAAACAAGAACATCTTCCATATGACTGATCAGATAAAGATTTCAGGGTTACTTTTGATTCGTAATAATCATTCATATTGTAATTATTCTTTGAGCAAATATAAAAATTAATAGATTATTAAACAACATTTTTCGGATTTTTAAAAGTTACATTATAACTAAAGTCCGAATGGCATTTAAGAAAATTCGATATAATTTTTAAAAAAATCAGATATTGATTTTTTAAGAGTTTCATTATGCTTAAAAGTGCGTTAAATATAATGTATAAACTGTTTTAGAAGACGTACTGTTAATCCTTATGAAAACATTTTTTATGTACTTTTATATATTACTCTTTTGGCAAAATGATCATCTAAATCTGTGTATGTAAAGTAATTATAATGATCAGCCGACAAAAAATTGATTGAACTAACTTTTTCCTTCAAGGGCAGAGTTGTTGTCGCTAAGGAACAAGATTCTGACGATGAACAGATAGACAAAGGAATAACCCTCAAATCAAAATCGATAATGCAGAAAACTCTTTATTTCCTAAAAAAAATGAAATGAATAATGATAAA